GTGGTGGTGGTTGTGATGGAAGGTGTGGCGGTGGTGGCGGTGGCGGAAGGTGGTGGCGAAAGATGGTGGGCGATGGCGAAAGGTGGTGACGGTGGTAATGGCAGAAGGTGGTGGTGGTGGCGATAGTGAAAGGTGGTGGTGGCGGTGGGGGAAGGTGGTGGTGGTAGCGATAGTGGAAGGTGGTGGTGGTGATGGAAGGTAGTAGAAGACGATGGTGGTGGTGGAAGGCGATAGCGGCGACGTTGGTTGTTGTTGAAGGCGGCAGCAGTGGTGAAAGGTGGCGGTGGCAGTGGCAGTGGGGGTGGTGTAGGGCTGTGGCGGTGGCGGTGGTGGTAGTGAAAGGTTGTAACAGTGGTGGCAGTGGTGAAAGATAATAGCGGCGGTGGTGGTGGAAGGTGGTGGTAGTGGTGAAAGGTAATGGCGGCAGTGGTGGTGGAAGGTGGTGGCGGTAGCAATGGTGAAAGGCGGTGGCGATGGTGGAGGTGGAAAGTGGTGGGCGATGGTGAAAGTTAGTGGTGGTGGAAAGCAGTGGTAGTGGTAATGGTGGTGAAAGGCGGAGATGATTGTGGTGAAAGGTAATGGTGGTTTTTAGACTTGAAATATGAGGGTGTTTTGGGAAGTCAATTTTTAAAAATAAATTACTTGAGAATAGAATGGCCATTCCATAGGTTTAGTTGTGGAATGAATTTTCATTCCCAAGAATGAATTTTCATTTCAATGGAACGGTCATTCTTACTTTAAGTTGCATACCAAATAAAGGAATGGTTGGGATGAATATTTCATTCCATTCCATTCATGCACATCAAACGTAATATTAGATTAACAAGTGCATAAATTCCATTTTGAGAAATCCTAACAAATTTATTGATCTGAATCTATTTACTATCATTCAAGAGTTATTCCAAATAACAGTTTATATATATATAATATAAAACTAATAATTTTTTAGTAAAATAATCTATTTAAGACATGAATACTCATTGTATAATTATTAGTGATAATTCGAATTCAAAAAAATACGACTTTGTAATATTTGGAACATTCTCAAATTATTGTTTCATTTAAAATATAGGAATACTTTCTGAAGGTTTTGTGAGGAAAAATTGAAGATAATGCACAACTTGTTGATAAGGTATGAATTTAAATGCCCAACTTAGATGTTATGAATGTAATCCATAACTGACTCATATAACCATGAATAATCTAAGTAAATAATAACTTGATAAATTTAGGAGAAATTATTGAATCAATTTGAATTAAATCTTGGTTTGAATCTAATTCATTTCATATCTAAATCTGATGGATTTTATAAAGAAGATTCATTTTTTTTTTTCCCAGATAAAGTAAAACTAAATACATGTTTAAGCTCCTATAAATTTTGGCTTAGAACAATGTGATTTCGTCATTAATAGCTATACTGCAAGATTAGCTTTAAAGTGAGTTCATGATAACTAACCGAATTGGTGATTGAAAGAGATTGTAATATGGTGATTAATTCGTAAAAAAAAAAAAAAAAAAAAAAAAAAAAAAAAAAAAAATCCTATAAACAATGTTGCTATTTATAAGATTTAAGTCATACAATCTTTTTAAATAAGTGTCGCTCTCTTGCTCTGAACGTATTCCTGCTTTTACACTTTGCACGTGTTTTCGCTCCCAATTCCACCACGTGACTTAAAATTTTTGCCACTGTTAGCTCCGCTCACAAATTTGATGTTACTCCCACTTTATCCAACTTGGCATAAGACATGCAAATGACTTGTTCATACTTCACGCGTTTGTAGGATAAGTTGTTTAAGACTAATCGTAAAGGAAAGAACCGAAAGTCCAATTCATGATGTGGGTTCCAAATCAATTGTTCTATCTTGTTCTCTTTAGGGACTGACTATATATATAATATCCACTGACAAATAATCAAGTAGGTAGGGTGATTTAGATTGTTGGGCGTGTGAGGACTCGTCTTTTAACGTTCATGTAATTGTTGCTTGTTTACCAAATACGACACGGGCCACCAGACGCGATGGTTCTAAGTATTGCATTGGTTTAACCAGACGCGATGGCTCAAAGTGTTGCATTGGTTTAGCCTACAACTGTCATACGTTTTGGTTCAAATCGTTCTTCCCTATACATCGAGCAACAATATTTGTACTTCGACAAATGCAAATGATATACAATGGATCTGCATGCAGCATCATTCAACCCTTCACGTTGCAACCAACAACAGCATAAAATCCTTTCACGTCAGAATATTCACGTTACAACAATATACAGAGTATACAATATATTAATTTTTGTCCAACATGACATTCATGTTATTGTCTAACGTAATATACATGGACACCTAAAACCATATTCACGTCATAGTTTCAACGTGATGAATAAGTTGCACGCAAGTTTCATTCACATATATCAACAAATAATACCTTGATAAAATTAAGAAAAATTATTGAATCAATTTGAATTGAATCTTGGTCTGAATCTTATCCATTTCATATCTAAATCTCATGGATTTTATAAAGAAGATTCAATTTTTTTTTTTTTCCAGATAAAATAAAAATAAACACGTTTAAACTCGTATAAATTTTGACTTAGAACAATGTGATTTCATCACTAGTAGCTAAAGTAATGACTCCAAGATTAGCTTTAAAGCAAGTTCATGACAATTAATAAAATTGGTGATTGAAAGAGATTATATGACCTAAGTCATACAATCTTTATCTTTTTAAATACGTATTACTCTTACGCTCTATACGTGTTTTGGCTCCCAATCCCACCATGTGTGACTTAAAAATTTTACTATTTTTATACTCTCGTTCTTAAATTTACTCTTACTTCCACTTCATCTGACTTAGCATAAGAGCTAAGAATAACTTCGGTTCATACTTCACACACGTTTGTAGAATAAGTTGTCTGAGACTAATTGTAAAGGAAAGAACCGGAAGTCCAATTCATGATGTGTGTTCCAAATCAATTGTTCTATCTAGTTCTCTTTAGGGACTCACTAGATATATATATATATATATATATATATATATATATATATATATATATGATCCACTGACAAATAATCAAGTAGGTAGGGTGATTTAGATTGTTTGGCATGTGAGGACTCGTCTTTTAATGTTCATGTAATTGTCGATGTCCATTCCTTATTAGTTTTGACTTCATATTCATGAGAGAGGTCGATCTCTTTAGGTATATGCATGTCCTTCTGTCTATCACTACTTGGTGGCGGGAATTCAAACACTTTTTTATTTACAAATGTGATTATTCACTCTCCTTAAAAGAAGTGACTTGGACTAAGACTCAGAAAAAGTTCAAAAATTGGAAAAAAAAGTTGGAAAAAAGTTGTTTCTTCTTCAAAGAGAAAAGCTTTCCATACGGACCATTGAGTGCATAATCACTCCACGAATTTCTCTGATAGAAGAAAGGCCATGGTTATTGACCATATTAACCTCTCAATGCCCTTAGTTGTTCAGGGGACCTAGCATACCCAGACAATTGTCAATTGACCCACTTTCTTATCAAACACCAAACTTCTTTGTTTTTCTTTTCTTTTTTCATCATTAATTTGAGTAAAAACATTAAAAACATTATCAAAAGAAAAAACTATCAAATATCTGATTTTTTTTTTTTTTATTTTTATATATGATTCTTAAAATGTTTCTGTTAATCTTACTGATGATGTATTCGATCAGTCGAAAATATATAAGTATCTTTGGCGAAATCCGTCTGACCATAATTGACAATTGTTTAATTGACTCTCTGTGGTCGAGGCAAATTAATCACTCCACGAATTTCTCTGATAGAAAAAAGGCCATTGTTATTGACCATTGACCTCTCAAGTGCCCTTAGTTGTTTATGGGACCAGCATAACCAGACAATGTCAATTGATTCACTTTCGTATCAGACACCAAACTTTTCCATTTTTACTTTTATTTTTTCCTTTTTAATTTGAATTTTGATAGGGAGTGGTTAGTGATGGGGACTCCAAATCTAGAGGTTTTTATTTTATTATTATTATTATTTTGTATTATTTATATGGACGATTCAATCCACAACGTCAATTCATAATTGAATGTTGTTTAATCTCTTTCTTTCAATGAGGCAAATCAATATTTCATTATATTTATGATTGTTCGAACAAATATATTGAAATTAGTGGTAAATATCAAGACTTAGAGGTGCATAATCACTTTATGAAGATAGTTAAAATATTTTTCACATGCAAAGGGAAGCATTATCTTCGAAATTCAAATAATCCCATATATGAAATTTATGTTGATAAATGTTGCACTTTTCCTTATAAACTTGTGTATTTACTCTCGTCAGATCAACTAAAAGGATAAAACTCACGCTAACACGCTCCCACCCTTTGGTTATCTTGCATGTGATTGTTACAAAGTAGGTCGTTAATGTAAAGGAAAAACAAGGGACAAAAGGATCTTTTTGGTTTGAATAATTCTTAGTGCCCTACATTTTTTAAATGAAAAGGTACATTCAAGTTCTTGCTGCCTTTTTCCTTCACCTCCAAATTCAAATTCATTTTTCAAGTTCAATTTCAATTTCTTGTGAATTCCATCAACAGCCCACTTTGGTTCTTGTGTGTGGTTTCTTTTAACAAGTGGGGGAGTCGCATAAAAAGGTAGACCCTCATTTGAGCAACCGACTAAACCATGCGACTAATGTATGATAAAAAATAATTTTGTATGGGCTTTTGGCTATAATGGAGTCCTTAATTTTGTTGGGCTTATAGCTAATTGGTCTAATATGTTGATGTCAAATTATTATTTTTTTCAATAATTGGGTGTCCATTGCATTGTACTGACTAATCCACGGTACTCATGCAAGGCACCACCCACACAGATTGGGTAAAATTTAAATTATATCTGCAGATATAATCTCTAAAAAATTATTTGCACTTAGGAGGAATCAATCCATGAGGCACCATGCCTAAGTCTTTCCAATTAGGCCACCCTTGGAGGTTATTGATGTCAAATTCATAATCATAATAGTGGGCTTTAATAGATGAGCCCATTTGAATGTATACTTATTCAGGTTACACACACACATGAATGTTCTTGGTGTACATCCAAAAATTCAAATATGAAGATGCAGTAAAAATAAACCAAACCACTTATTTTTCTTTACAATAAATCATGAATTTATTCTGTGCTGGTTCAACTGCTTTCAAGCTTTTGGGTCTTGTATGATTGTTGTAACTGCAAACTCTTCGAAAAAAAAAAACAAAGAAAGAAAATTTCACAATGATTAGAAAAGACAAATCAGTTGCAAAGATTTGTAAAACATAAAACAAATGTTGGACTAGTGTGGGCCGGGTTTGGCCCATAAAATGGTCCAAAAATCAGATCCCATTGGAGAAATCATCTCTCATTAGTTGGTGTGAAGGGAAGTGATGTGTGTGTGTGTGTGCGCGCGCGTGTGTGTGTGTATGGATGGGATAGATGCAAAAAAATATCCCTAAAATATATTTTGTGTAGTACTTTCACCTTCTATTTTAAAAAGTGTACAAAAAATATCCCAAATCTTTTTACATTGTGCAAAAATACCTTGTCTGACATAATTAGTGTTGTAATACCCGTTTTGTCCTTTTACTCTTATTAAAATGCCCAATGGGATAGATATGCTACTAATAGCATAGTATAAGAATGTTATGTGCATGTTACCTTATATATATATATATATATATTTTTTTTTTTTGAAATTTTTATTCTCTATATATATATTTAAACATTTTTTTAAAAAAAACTTTAAGAATTTGTAAAATAAGAATTTGAATTTTTTGAGATTTCAGTTTATTCTTTTCTAACTAATATTTTTTTCTTTATTTTTTTTTTTTCGTACCAACACTATTAGAAAAATAAAATAAAATAAAATATTCCCAATATCAATGTGCACTGATTTTCAGAGTTTGGAAAATTTTTGTTTTCTTTAGTTTGCACTTTATTTTTGTTTTTTATTTTTTATTTTTATCTTTACTTTTCTTTTATACTTTAATTTTTATTTTATATTTTTATCTTTACTTGTCCATTGCCGACATTCTCCAATGGTATCATTTTCGGTCATTTTATAAAATTATTTATTTTTATATATTTTATAAAATGGTTCAGTAAGGGTAATTTAGTCAACTTAGGGTTTAAATTTGTCAGATGGACCTATTTGCACCAGATTGAAACTTTAGGGGTATTTTTTTACATGAGAGGGACATCCTACAATAGTGTCCTTTTCGGTCATTTTACAAAGTTATATATTTTAATATATTTTATAAAATAGTTCAATAAGTGTAATTTAGTTAACTTAGAGTTTAAATTTGTCAGGGGAACCTATTTGCACGAAATTGAAACTTTAACTGTATTTTTTACCAATGGTCCAGCGAACCAGTGGTATTAGCCCCTTACTTCCCAAAGGGAGGTTAGAAGTTCAAGTCTCAGAAGAGACAAGTGTGTGTAAGTATCAATTAGGACAAAAAAAAGAAAAAAAAAAAAGGGGGTATTTTCTGCACTTTTATATATATATATATATATATATATATATATATATAGTAGTACCTGTTTTATTGTGGTGGTGGACACTCCCCGTCAATTGATTGTCTGATACATTCCTGGTATTTAAAATACATCAACCAATAAGATAAATAAAAAAATCAGTATGGTAATGAATTAGTCACACTATTTAGCTAAAATATTATAATAATCATGCAACTCAATTATGCTCGTATGGTTTGCAATGTCAAAGTTCAACGCGACATCATAAAAGTCATATAAGCTTGGTAGATTTAAGGACCAATATATACAGTATAAGAAATTAAAAAAGATAAATTGATATTTTAGAATAAAAGTTTAGAATTCTCAAACATATATAATTAAGGTAAATTTGAATATCTTGATAGTCTTTCATAGACAAATTAAAGTCAAATCACATAATAGATTTTTATCTATTTTTATTTATTTATTATTATTATTTTTTATCAAAGTCATATTTTCGCAAACAAAAGAATGGGTGACACCAACCCTTTTTCTATTAAATTCCATACCTACCCTCTACCACAGAGAGATTTCATTTGTTGACCTACAATTCCTTGTACATCTTTACGCCAACCCTTTATATATATATATATATATATATATATATATATATATATATGGTTGTGTTAAAAAAAAAAATAAAGGCAGTCGTCATCACCCGTTAAAACACGCACGCACATCCACATGCATGGTGGATCGAAATTCTCTTCGGTACATTTTTTTTTTTTTTTTTTCTTTTTTTCATAATATTTTGCATTCTAGTTTCACCACATTTACTTTGAAATTTTAACACTTAAGATGGTGAATTTTACTCTATAATGGTAATTTTTAGAAAAAGTTATACTTTAATACTACATAGTACTTTGACACTTTTCAAAGTAAGAAGTGGATAGATCAAGTTCCTATATAAGCAAAGTGAGTGGGGTGTGAGTTTCAATTAGGGGGAAAAAAGAATGACCAATTCAAATTCACCAAATAAAAACAATGAAATTCACTAGAAATTATTAAATGGGTACTCAAGGTGGATATTATTTTAACTAAATGAGTGATTTAAGGCTTCAAAATTCACTATAAATTTATTAGATAGTGCTCAAGGTGGATGTCAGTTTAACTTCAATTAACCAAATGAGTGATATAACGTTCTGATATTCATTAGAAATTATTAGATGATACTCAAAGTGGACGTCATTTTAAACAAATAAGTGATGTGATGCTTTTTTGCTTCGTTGGATTTGCGATTCTTCAATGCCATAAACATTTTTAATATTTTTTTTGTTATACATCGAAAAGAAACATACTCACACATCCACAATAACTCTATAAACTTAAATTCTTGACCTTCTCCTATGAAAGGTTAAAAAGTACCATAGAATGCACAACTTTTGATTTGTTAGGTTATTTTGTGCTTCTCCTATGAAAGGTTAAAAAGTACCATAGAATGCACAACTTTTGATTTGTTAGGTTATTTTGTGCTAGAGAGTTTTATGATCGTTGGCATAACAAGATAGAAATATTGAATAACTCACATAATATTTAATTGGCCAAATTGAATGAGTTGAATAACCGCGGTTGGTATTTTCCCAGATAGCTTGTTACTGTTTATTCTCCTGCAATCATAATAAATTAATAAGTAAATTTTACATAGGACTGCAACTACCACTTCCATTTTCCTATCATCCTATATATATATATATATATATATTGTAACTGAAAGAACATTGCACTTACAGGAATCTCAAGAGCTTCAAGTTTCCAAGTGATGCTGGGATAGTCCCTGATAGTTTATTTTGATACAGATCCAGGCTAATTAGGGCCTTTAACGTACCTATCTCTCTCGGAATATTTCCAGTGAGGTTGTTAGCAAATACTTCCCTGCAAGTCAACAATGCATATACGGAGTATTTCATACGTATCCCTTAAAAATGTCATGTTCTGCAATATTTTTCATTTTTTATTATTTTTATTTTTATAGTTATTTAATGCAAAACAATATAGTATTTGTAGCACTTTTTCTTGTTTTTTAATTTCAACACTAACAAAAAATTTGAATTGTTTTCCTAACTTTTTTTCTAAATTTCCTGGTACAGTCAAATATGATTAAAACAATCAACACAGTGGCTATTAAAGAGTCTTAAGAGGAGTCATAAAATCGGACATTCTGAATTTGACTCTCGTTAGGTACAAAAATAATTTAATTTAAATGATATGTATGATTTATAAGTTATTGCATATATATGAAAGGATTTTGAATTCTACCCATTATTTAACTTGGAGACCAACAAGTGAGAGGCATTCACAAGTCAATGCCCCCACTGAATTTTAATTTTTTTTAAGTAACATACCTTATTAATTTACATTTTTGATAAATATATCTACAAAATAACACTACTGCCTCCATAGAAATTATTAAAAAAATACACCATTGGCCTCCAAAATAATTTTCTACCTCCGTCCCTGCCATCAAGTCATTTGTTTTATTTACTTTATTCATTATTAATCATATCTTTGTACTATCTAAATAAAAATGATTTATTGAGAAACTATCTATGAATAAGCTATGCTAGATAATTATGGATTAAATAATTATAATAAAAACAATAAACTTACAAATATTGAAGATTTTTCAATATTGCCAGCTGAGGTACTAGTGGTCCCGATAGCCCAGCATCGCCGAGGTCCCTTCAATAACCAAATCATATATATATTTCAAATTACAATATCAATCAGAGTTTAAAGAGGCGAATTGTAGAATTACAAAGATGACCTTTGGGGTTATACTACAATACAAACACTTACACTCTTGTAACACTGTTTTTAGAATTGCATGTGACGTGATACCAAGTGCATGGATTGACTAGAGTTGGGTCCCAGCTCTGGAGGACATTGAATGGATCCGCTAATGCGTGCTTCCAAGCAATCAGAGCATCACCTATTCATGAAAAGAGAACAAAAACATAAAAAGTCAGAGGGATTCCATTTTCTAATTTTCAACAGAAGATTATAAAATTTTATAAAAATCGTTTTTTTTTTTTTTTTTTTTTTTTTTTTTTTTTTTTGACCATATTTGAAATATGGTTTTTCAAAAGTTATAAAAAAGTTTTTTTCTGAGAGAATTGTAAAGAATAGTAACCTGAAAAACAAGTAATTAAAAAAAGTATGCATTCAACGTGTCCCATTATAACATCTCCGCTTTCATTCCAAACTTTCATAAAATGTAGTGCCATGTCATAAATTGTGTCAACATGACTCTACACATTTTTTTGAAGATATATCTCCCTTGTTGTGCACCCATCTTTTATATTTTACACTTATTTATTTTATTATTTTTAAAATTTATCCACACACTACTCATACACCATAAATTTATTTAAAATAATAAAAGGACACAAATGCCCCACCAGTCTAAAGGGTACATTCTTGACTTGATTCTATACAAGTATAGAATTGAGTGTAGAATATTAGGTGGGGTTAACAAATGTAGAATGCCCGCACCAAAGTCATTCAATCGGAGGATCAGATAATGTGGAAAAATAGTATGCGCTGGGATGCTCTCAAGCAACCTAAAAAATTGAGGGCGTGTGAAAAGTAGAAAAACGTGAAAAAAAATTCAGCTCAAAAGAGGCTTATTTTCAAAAAGTTTATTTTTTCATAATTCTCTTAAAACTAAAACAAATACGCCATGAAGAATATATTCATGGTCTTTTGAGTAAATTTTGAGGGAAAAAAAAAGTTAAAAAAAAAAAATCAAGTATATGAAGTTAGGAATATATAATACCTTCAGAGTTGCAATCTACAGTGACTATAGCAAGAGCAAAGAGGAGGAGAATCAGAGTATGAGACCCCATAGAGCAGAAGTGGAATCCTAAACAAGAGAAGGATCAATATATGTAATCTGTGGCTGCTTCAGTTCTGTTTATGGACAAGCATATGTCTATATATATATATATATATATATATAGATGATAGATATATGAGAACATTTTGTAATTAACGTGGGTTGTTAATGGCTTGACAAAGACCTCCCATAGGATAACGTTCAAACGGCCCGAGTCAAAGTTTTGATGCATTGCACCGTGCACATATTCAGGATGGGATCTAGGCCTTGTAATATAAATACTTGTAATGGACAGAGGGTCAATGGAGACAAGATTAATAAAACAAAGTAAAAGAACAGACCACGACAAGTCCTCAGCTGTACTTTGACCAGCACTCAATTTCTAGAATAAGCCTTGTAATTAAGACCTTCACTAAGCTTGTGGGGGTGTTGCAAGTTTGTTTTGTGTGTGTGTGTGGGGAATTGTCTTCTCTTGTGTTGTAGATGACTTGGAAAATAATTTTCTGACTCGTTCTCGGTGACAAGCTAGTCATTTGATTTATTTACTTTATTCATTTTTAATCATATCTTTGTACTCTCTAGATAAAAACAATAAAAATGACTTATTGAGAAACTATTTATGAATAAGCTATGCTAGAAAAGTATGGATTAAATAATAATAATAAAAACAATAAGCTTACAAATATTGAAGATTTTTCAATATTGCCAGCTGAGGTACTAGAGGTCCTGATAGTCCAGCATTGCTGAGGTCCCTTCAATAACCAAATCATATATATATTTCAAATTACAATATCAGTCAGAGTTAAAAGAGGCGAATTGTAGAATTACAAAGATGACCTTTGGGGTTATACTACAATACAAGCACTTACACTCTTGTAACACTGTCATTCAAATTGCATGTGACGTGAAACCAAATGCATGGATTGACTAGAGTTGGGTCCCAGCTCTGGAGGACATTGAATGGATCCGCTAATGCTCATGAAAAGAGAACAAAAACATAAAAAGTCGGAGGGATTCCATTTTCTAATTTTCAATAGTAGATTATAAAATTTTATAAAAATCGTTTTTTTTTTTTTTTTTGGGACCATATTTGAAATATGGTTTTTCAAAAGTTATAAAAAGGTTTTTTTTTTGAGAGAATTATAACGAATAATTATCTGAAAAGCAATAATTGAAAAAAAAAAAAAAAATTAAGTATATGAAGTTAGGTATAATACCTTCAGAGTTGCAATCTACAGTCACTACAGCATACAGCAAGAGCAAAGAGGAGGAGAATCAGAGTATGAGACCCCACAGAGCAGAAATGGAATCATAAACAAGAGAAGGATCAATATTGTAATCTCTGGCTGCTTCAGTCCTGTTTATGGACAAGCATATGCCTATATATATATATACACATACATATATAGATCATAGACATATGAGAAATTTTGTAACGCGGGTTGTTAATGGTTTGATAATGACCTCTCATAGGATAATGTTTAAGCTCGTGGTGTGTACAGTGTTACAAGTTTGTTTTGTGTGTGGAGTTGTCTTCTCTTGTGTCCTACATGACTTGGAAAATAATTTTGAATCTTGCTACCAAGGATTATTGTAATCTTTGTTCTAGTTAATGCTGTCTTTGTTTGGTAGAAGAAGAAGAAAATAAAAACTTAAAAAATAATTTAAAATTTGAATATCGAAAATCAAATGAGAGAGAAGGGATGGGAGCTAGCACAAAGCCAGCATTGGCGGCTTCCCCCTCATTTTATTTATTTATTTTTTACTTTTGTTAATATTATTTTTGTGAAATTCTATAAAAAAAAAAATGCTCTTCTAGAATCATCTTTTTTATTCTATAAAAAAAAATTCTTCTATTGTATGGATTGTCATTTTTACCATTGCTTTATTTAACATTATTTTTTAAAAAAAAAATAATAATAATGACATGAAAAGACTAATTTATCCTTGTTAAAAAAAATAATAATAATGACATGAAAAGACTAATTTATCCTTGTTGGAAAGACCAAGTATCTCTCTTTACCTTCTCTCTTCCGGCCACCACCTCTCCCTTTCGGTTCTGCTTGTAGGAACATTAAAAACATAATATTTTTAAGGCAACAATACCCCTTAAAATCAACCTTCCTTCTCCTCTTCATATATGTATATATGCGTGCGTGCGTGTACAAACTACTCATTTAACTGCTACGATGTTTATTATTTACTAAACTACCGATAATCTTCTCTGCAATTTTATTTCAACGAAAATTTAATTTTATAATTTTACTTCAATTAAAATTTAGGAAAAATTACATATAAATGGAGTTAAAGTTCCATATTTACTTAGAGGCTGAGTCAAAGTTCCATATTTCTCTAAAATGGATTGCTGAGGTGGCACATGGTTTTTTACTGTTTAGAAATTGTGATGCCTAAAATACCCTTCCGCGAAGGTACTACTTTTTCTTCGAAGGTACTACTTTTTTGAACTGAAGGTACTACTTTTTGGCGTCCAGGTACCATGTTTTTTAAACACTCGCGAAGGTACTACTTTTTCTCCGAAGGTACTACTTTTTTGAACTGAAGGTACTACTTTTTTGAACTGAAGGTACTACTTTTTTTATTAGAGAAGGGCATTTTAGGCACCACAATTTTTTAAACAGTAAAAAATCATGTGCCACCTCAGCAATCCATTTTAGAGAAATATGGAACTTTGACTCAGTCTCTAAGTAAATATGAAACTTTGACTCCATTTATATGTAATTTTCCCTAAAATTTAACTATTATAAAAATTCACATTAAAATATATTATGTGTGTAATTTTTTTAAAAAAATTTTACTTCAACGAAATTTATTTATTTTTTAATTTTATAATTTTACTTCAACTAAAATTTAATTTTTTTTTATTTTTTTAAGTAATGCCAAAGCAAATAATTTATTTATATATTCATGTGGGATAATAGCTTTCAGATATGTGTGGATGGCATTGACTTACAAGCGACTAAGAAAGAAAAAGGAAAAGGACAAGGCAAAACAACGTGATTTTCATGTCACTGCATTATTAAAGAAAAATGGCCGGATTAGTGTGGATGCATTGAAAAATTATAAAAAACAATTGTTGCATTCAAATTGCTTTAATCAAGTTTTTATTAGAAATTGGACATTGGAATTTCTCTCAAATAAATGTCGAGTTCGATCAATGGTCAACAAAATTCACTTGCAAAATATGGAACCACAAAAAATTAAATAAAATATTTAAAATTGTCCCAATGTGCAAGTCTATGGAGTGATGATTAGACCTAAAATGAAAAATAATACAGTACTCTTTCATAATTACCCTTTGAGCCAGCTTGCTAATAATATACTCATTTAAATTTAAAAGAACGTTGTCATAATTTTAAAATAACGATAAAAAGTTCATAGTCGGATACATCTTACTAAATTTATATGAATAAGAAGTGACGTTATCATCCTCACTCATATAAATCAATGGAACACATAAAAAATTGAACTGTTTATCATTATTCTTTTAAGAATGGACATCACATTTATTTATTTCATATCTCACAAAAAGTTATAATATCAAAAGTGGTTGAAAGGCCAAATTACTCTATGTTAGGGAACATAAGATTGGCACATTAAAATTAAAATTTAAAAATTTTAACTATTTTTCTTTATTCTAATTTTAAGATCCGATTTTATGGTTACAAATTCAATAGTGAAATATAGAGATGAATGATTCAGGTGAAAGAGAATAGGATAGTAAAGGTTATGTATAAAATTCAGTGATTAATATTATATCATTATAAATAGGTATTATTTATCAATTTAATCTCAATTACTAAATTTTGTGTTTGACCTCTCATATGCACGAGAGAATCCGACATTAAAAGGCGAATAGAGATCAGGAATTGCACTTTGAGAGAGAGAGAGAGAGTGTGTGTGTGAAACAGAACAACAACACAAAAACCCTAACTAAAACAAACAACTGAACAACCCAACAAAACAAAAGAGCCACAAAACCACGTAGAGCCATAACAAAATGACAACTAAGCATTGCCCACCACAGAAGATAAAAAGGCAAACCCAAACTGTAAACCAACTGTCCAAGGAGACTGCCAAAGAGCCAACAAAGGTGGAAAACAAGGACGACGTGAACACATATGCGCCTTACAAATATATCTTGTCTTGCAAACACAAGCACCATTAACCACGGCATAATTGACTTTGACAGAGTCACATACCAGGTGTCTAACTCACGCACATGCAGCAACATCATAACCCTGGGATCCCCCATCGTAAACCTAACAGTACAGCATCCATCCTGTGCCATACTATCCAGACAACAAGAAACCAGTATAGCACATTTGAAATCAGCAATAGATAGCTTGACAGGAGCAGCAATGAACACAGTACTTTCAAACCATAGCTTCCGCAAGGGAAACAGCCACACCCAAATGAAAGCGGCAAAAAAGTGCACCACCGCAGCCTTAGTAGCATTTAGGAAAAAGGGTATAAACCTTATCAAACAAGTACCCAATGGTTCCCGTAGAAACACTGAAAACCTCCCCTGCTCGTCGAATTAAAAGTTGCATAACCACAGTATAAAGCTCCATTCCCTGCCAAGGAGGTTTCCAAACTTGAGGCAAATCAGATCGCTTGGATTCTTCAGCACCAATCTTAACCATCCGTAACAACCAAATATAGAGCAAAAAGGTAACAACAGAGCGCAAGAAGAACAACAGAGATTCTTGAAGTGAGATTGGCGGAGAGTCCCATTGGCCTGGACGTGGCATAGAAATGGCGACATGGGCCAGGTAACTAAAACATATACCCCAGTGCAGAACAAGAACATGTGGGCCTAGCAATCTATAGCCCATAACCCAAGCAGCCTTATGTTGGATGAACCCAACGACAAATAAAGAAGGCTGGGCAAATTTATAGGCGGAGCGCATAATTGGGCTTAAAGACCTCACAGAGTCCAACTGGGCTAATGAAAAGTGGCAGCCCACAAGAGAAATAGGTGTGAAGTCCAAAACAGAGCCTTTACCTGAAGATGCATAAGGACAAATGTGGCTCGGTAAACACCGCCGATGTAGAAATCTCATAATCCGACGAAGAGCACAAAACAGCGGTACTAGCAGCAACAGATAGCCATTGTTGGACCAGGCAAAACAGGATGATGATGGATTGAGCATTAGAAAGAAAAGTAAAAGACCAATCATAACCACCATCAAAGTAGCAGAACTCAGAACAGGGCAACCACCTACCGTTTGGAAGCCAGTCGGCCGGCCTGCAACCCCACTGACTAGTGTCTGCATTGCCAATACCTGGATCAAAAGTATAGATCGTAAACCCCTCACCAGAGAACTTGTCACCGCTCCAAGAGCCATGGAGGAACCCCATCATCGCAAAGATAACCAGCCTGCCACATACATAGACAACGCTAGGTTGAAACAGAGTGTGTGTGTGTGTAAAGGGTAATAATTAGAAAAGACAAATGAAGAACAAACCAAATGAACACCATTGGTGTTGAATTTTTTATTCATAATTTACTTTACAATATGTTTTAATTTTGAATAAATAACATCTCAATCGTTTATTATATATATATAATTCCATTAAATTTTAAAAAATAAATAAAAAATAACTTATGTTGTGTATATAAGTCTGTTAAATTTGAAAAATGAGCAAAAAAAATGTTTGAAGTCGCTTTTAAGATATAAAATTTTAAAAACACCTTTATCTCTTTTCATAATGTTCTTATAAGGGCAAAGTGAGAAAAATACCTATAATATTTACATTTTGGCTAAATAACACCCCTATCCTTTATTTTGAGTATATAAATCCGTTAAGTTTGAAAAAATGTGGTAAATAATGACTTTATGACATTATTTCGTTAAAAATTAATTCATCTACATTGCACATGACATTTTTAAGATACAAAATTTTAAAAATACCCTTTTCTCTTCCTATAATATCCTTATATATATATATACACACATGTCACATTTAATTAGTTTTTTTAACCTATTTTTTATTCAATTGTAGAGAGATATTTTAATATTTTTAGCATTCAGTTCCTTATTTGCACCAAAATTGGATATTAAGGAGGTTTAGAATGTATAGGGGGTTATATACTGTATATGCATACCATAATAGTGTTTTTTGTTCGCAAACCTATATGTTATATGTAAAAATGACAGTTTAGTTATTTCACATTTAATTAGTTTTTTTAATTATTTTTTTATTCTGTTATAGAGGAACAATTTAGTCTTTTCAGCATTCAGATCATTGTTTGCTTCAAAATTGAATGTTATGGACTTTTTAGAATGTATAAGAAGTTATATACTCTATATACATACCATAGGGGTACTTT